AACCCAGGAGGCGGAGGTCGCAGTGAGCTGAGATTGCGCCACTGTACTCCAGCCTGGCGCCTGGCGACAGAGCAAGACTGTCTCAAAAAAAAAAAAAAAAAAAGAAGTATATAAAATAAAGGTCACTATGGCCTAGTTGAGAAGTGCAAGTTATAGAGCTGCTAATGATGGTAGATTTAGAGAAATTAAAAAGGTAGGTGATCACGCCTGTAATCCCAGTACTTTGGGAGGCCTAGGCAGGCAGATCACCTGAGGTCAAGAGACTGAGACCAGCCTGATAAAAATGGTGAAACGCTGTCTCTACTAGAAATACAAATATTAGCTGGGCATGGTGGCATGCGCCTGTAATCCCAGCTACTCTGGAGGCTGAGGCAGGAGAATCGCATGAACCCGGGAGGCGGAGGTTGCAGTGATGTGAGATGGCACCACTGCACTCCAGCCTGGGAGACAGAGTGAGACTCCGTCTCAAAAAAAAGAGAGGGTTTTGAGACAGGATGCAGAGGGACAGAGAGAAGCCAGACTCTAGGCTTGCTGCTAAGTTTCAGGCTAGGGAACTAGGTGGCTTTTTATGTCATTCACTAAGGGAAGGGAGGATGAAATCGGGTTGCCAGGGAGATGATGCTGTTGGTTGTGCAAATGTGGAGTTTCAGATGCCTTTGAGACAGCCAAGTGGGGAGGCTGGGAGGTTACTTAGAATGTTCTTGGGAGCTCAGGAGAAAGGCTCAGGAGAGAGGACTGGGATGACAGAATTCAGGTGATCAAATTCGAGTGTGGATGGTAATGGAAAGTACTTTTGCAAGTTATTTATTTATTAGCAGAACATTTATTGCTTCTCCCATGAGGGGTAGATTCTGAAGATACAAAGATGAATGAATGAGACAGGGCCCTGGCCCTCCAAGAGACCAGAAGGGGAGGCCAAGGTGTAGACGGTGACACCATAGGTGCTGTGTGTACCTAACCCAGCCAAGGAACACTTTTTTTTTTTTGGAGATGGAGTTTCACTCTTGTTGCCCAGGCTGGACTGCAATGGCATGATCTCAGCTCACTACAACCTCCACCTCCTGGGTTCAAGCGATTCTCCTGCCTCAGCCTCCTGAGTAGCTGGGATTACATGTATGCGCCACCTGTTTTTAAAGCAGAAAACAAGGCATTGGCAGCACAGTCTATATGCAGAATTTTTCTAGATTTTTATGATCTTTGCCTCAATTTTAGTTATCTCCTCCATACCCAAGTGAAGTTCCATTTTATTACATTGAATATTATGAAGTTATATAACATTACCTATTACTCAATATTTTTCATTCTGTTTAGCTTTTTAGACAGCTATCCATCTTCTGCCACTATTTCAATGGTTAATACAATATTTGAATACATAATTACAGTTACATGCATGGCGTGGGACAACTTTGTGTGTGTGCGCATTTCTTTAAATGCTCTTCTTTTTTTTTTGTAGGATGGAGTCTCACTCTGTCACCCAAGCTGGAGTACAGTGGTGCAATCTCGGCTCACTGCAACCTCCCCTTCCTGGGTTTAAGCGATTCTTCTGCCTCAGCCTCCTGAGTAGCTGGGACTACAGGCATGTGCCATCACAGCCAGTTTTTGTATCTTTAGTATAAAGATAAGGGTTTCACCATATTGGCCAGGCTGGTCTCAAACTCCTGGCCTTGTGATCTATCTGCCTCGGCCTCCAAAAGTGCTAGGATTACAGGTGTGAGCCACCTTGCCCTGCCTAAATGCTCTTTAAATATAATTCAACAGGTAGTTACCTCACTATAGAGGTGCAGATACACTATAGCCCCAGGCGGTCAACATCACCCTGTAGGTTGGGAAAGGGATGCAGCAGGTTAGTGACAGGAAAGTCACTTAAGAAAGCATCAGCCTGGGCACAATGGCTGACGCCTGTAATCCCAGCACCAGCCAAGGCAGGAGGATCACTTGAGGTCAGGAGTTCTCGACCAGCCTGACCAACATGGTGAAACCCCATCTCTACTAAGAATATGAAAATTATCTGGACGTGGTGATGTATGCCTGTAACCCAGCTACTCAGGAGGCTGAGGCAGAATGGCTTGAACTTGGAAGGTGGAGGCTGCAGGAGATTGCTGACTGCATCAGTCAGACACAGTGGCTCATGCCTATAATCCCAACACTTTGGGAGGCCAGAAGATTGAGAGCAGCCTGGACAACACAGGGAAATCTAGTCTTTATTTAAAATTTTTAAAAATTAGCTGCGCGTGGTACCATGTGCTTCTAGTCCCACCTATTCAGGAGGCTGAGGTGGGAGGATCACTGGAGCCCAGGAGCTTGACACTGCAGTGAGCTATGATTGTGCTACTGTACTTCAGCCTGGACAACAAAGCAAGACCTTGTCTCTATTAAAAAAAAAAAAAAAAGTAAGGCTGGAGATCCAAGATGGCTGATCGCTAACAGCTTGGGATTGTAGCTCCCAGTGAAAGCACAGAGAACGAGAGGACGCCACACTTTCAGATGAATTTTCGTCACTCATGGACCAGAAGATTCCCAGTGGAGGAGACCCACGGGTCGCCAGCGCAACTCTTGTGGCCGGCGCAGCGGTTTTGATGGCGCCTCGGCATGACAGCTCTTCAGGCAGAGTAAACGGGAGGAGATTCCCGGGCAGAAGAGCACCATCAATCTTATCGCTGCTGTTTTGGCTGGCGCAGTGGGTTGCTCGGATTCCAGCACTGGGAATCAATAAACTGGACGTCCACTCAGAAACCCAACTAGAAAGGTGGTAATCGTAAAGACGACAAATGGATAAATTTATAACAAAGGGAAGAAACCAGCCTAAAAAGGCCGAGAATACCCAAAATCAGAACCCCTCTCCCTCTACAGGGGATTACAGTTCCTCATCAGCAACGGAACAAGCCCTGATGGAAAAGGACTGTGTTCCATTAACAGAAGTAGGCTTCAGAAGGTGGATGATAAGAAACTTCTGGGAGTTAAAAGTACTTGTTCTAACCCAATGTAAAGAAACTAAGAGCTTTGAAAAAAGGTTTGACGAAATGCTAACAAGAATAGACAACATAGAGAGGAATATAAGTGAACTAACGGAGTTGAAAAACACAACACGAGAACTTAGCAAAATATGCACAAGTTTGAATAGCCAAATTGATCAAGCAGAAGAAAGGATATCAGAGGTCGAAGACCTACTTAATGAAATAAAACAAGAAGACAAGAATAGAGAAAAAAGGATAAAAAGGAATGAGCAAAGTCTCCAAGAAATATGGGACTATGTGAAAAGACCTAATTTACGTTTGATAGGTGTACCTGAATGTGACAGAGAGAAATAATCCAAGCTGGAAAATACTCTTCAGGATATTATTCAGGAAAACTTTCCCAATCTAGCAAAGCAGGACAATATTCAATCCCAGTTAATTCAGAGAACACCACAAAGATATTCCTCAAGAAGAGCAACCCCAAGGCACATAATCGTTAGATTCACCAGGGTTGAAACAAAGGAGAAAATACTAAGGGCAGCCAGAGAGAAAGGTAAGGTTACCCACAAAGGGAAGCCTATCAGACTTACAGCAGATCTCTCAGCAGAAACTCTACAAGCCAGAAGAGAGTGGGGGCCGATATTCAACATCCTTAAAGAACAGAACTTTCAGTCCAGAATTTCATATCCTGCCAAACTAAGATTCATAATTGAAGGAAAAATAAAATCTTTTATAAACAAGCAAGTACTCAGAGATCTTATTACCACCAGGCCTGCTTTACAAGAGCTTCTGAAAGAAGCATTATACATAGAAAGGAACAACCAGTATTAGCCTTTCTAAAAATATACCAAAAAGTAAAGAGCATCAACATAAAGAAGAATTTACATCGACGAATGGATAAAACAGCCAGTTAACATCAAATGGCAGTAATCCTAAATTTAAATAGACTAAATCCCCCAATCAAAAGATACAGCCAAAACCTAACGGTATGCTACATCCAGACCCATTTCACATCCAAAGATACAAAAAGACTCAAAACAAAGGGATGGAGAAAGATTTACCAACCAAATGGAGAGCAAAAATAAATAAATAAATGAATAAAAAGCAGGAGTTGCAATTCTCACATCTAATAAAATAGATTTCAAAGCAACAAAGATACAGTGGAAAAAGGATCAAGGCAACAGTAAGAGCTAACGATCCTAACACCCAGATACATAAGACCCATAAAGAGAGTTAGACTCAACGAGACAGAAAATTAATAAGGATATCCAGGACTTGAACTCAGATCTAGAACAAGTAAACTCAATAAATATTTATAGAGCTCTCCATTTAAAATACACAAAATATACATTCTCCACCTTAAATACACAAAATACTGATTGGCCATTATTAATACCCATTTTCAGAATAAAGCAACATTCCTGTTCTCCCTCCCTCTTTTTCTTCCTCTTTCCTCCTCTCCCTCACTCCTTTTTTTTTTCTTTCTAAAAAAAAATAATAAAAAAAGAAGGCATTCCTGTGAGAGGAAAGAGCCTGGCAAATGCCCTAAACTAAAAACAGATATAATACCTTCAAGGAAGAGTGAGGAAAAAAGATTCGTTCAAGAACAGCATTCCTGCTGGGAATAGTGGGTAATATTTTTTATTAGAAAAGGGGCACACACACACACACACACACACACAAAAAGTAAGAAAGCATTGATACTATTATTGGTATTCCAAAGAAGTAAGTTGGTGTCATAAAACAACAGTGGGCTTTGGGGACAGATAGCTCTCCTTGGTCTGGAACTTTGGGCATATTCGGTTATGCCTCTTGGTCTGTTTTCTCAGCTGTAAAACGGGGGTGCCATTCTCATTGTTGACGGTGTGTGTGTGAATGGAATAACCTAAGAAGCATGCCTCATGTCACCCATGGGAGGCAACAACACCGGTCCCCTTCTACCATGTAGCTCTTTCAGATCAGCCGCTCTTGGGAGAGTTTGGTGCTGATTTCAGCGTCCTTTATGTTGAGAAGTCAGGTTTCTTGCCCTTGTGTCGCCAACTCCAGTGCCAGCCGCCAGCTGACAGTGCTGGAAGGGAAGTCGGGACTCTACTTCTCCTCTCTGGACTCAAGCATCGACATCCTGCAGAAGAGAGCCCAGGAGCTGATCGAAAACATCAATGAGAGCAGGCAAAAGGACCACGCACTCATGACCAACTTCAGGAACAGCCTGAAGACTAAGGTGACAGACTCCACCCAGTGTGTGGAGGGGATTCCTTATGCAAAAGGGGAGGGAATGAACCGATGATGAATGTCTGTAGTACCAGGCACGATGCTAGGCTATTCATACATAGCACAGGCACTCCTCCACTTACGATGGGGTTACATCCCAACAAACCCATTCCAAATTGAAAATGCTCTAAGTTGGCTAGGAGTGGTGGCTCACGCCTGTAATCCCAGCACTTTGGGAGGCTAAGGTGGGCAGATCATGAGGTCAGGAGTTCAAGACCAGCCTGGCCAGTATCGTGAAACCCCGTTTCTACTAATAACACAAAAATTAGCTGGGCATAGTGGCATACACCTGTAGTCTCAGCTACTCAGGAGGCTGAGGCAGGAGAATAGCTTGAAACCAGGAGGCAGGGGTTGCAGTGAGCTGAGATTGTGCCTCTGCACTCCAGCCTGGGCAACAGAGCAAGACTCTGTCTCAAAAAAAGAAAGAAAGAAAGAAAAAAATGCTGTAAGTCAAAAATAAGTTGAACCATAGTAAGCTGCAGACCATCCATATCTCAATTTACCCTTAGAATAGTCCTACAGAGAAGCTACTGGACCCATCTTATAGATAAGGCTTGGAAATGAATGATTTGCAAGACAAGAGAGCTAGGCTGTGGGAGCGTGCATTGGATGACCTCGTGCCTCCAATACTCAGCCCTCTTACTTCACACAAGGTCGAGTAAGGGTACAGGCAGCTATGGGAGTAGGGGGTCAAGGCACAACTTGCATTGTCACATCTGTCTGTCCTGCAGAAGCCATCAAATGGTCTGTGACTGGAGAGTGTCTGTGACTGGAGAGTGAGGTTCTTCAACACACCCAGGGCTTATGTCTTGCGAAAGCTGGTGTTATGTTCAGGTCTTCCATGAATGGTTGCGCCTGATGCCTCTTGAGAATTTGGATTGGGGGACAGGCACAGTGGCTGACACCTGTAATCCCAGCACTTTGGGAGGCCATGGCAGGTGGATCACTTGAGGCCAAGAGTTAGCACCTGGCCAACATAGTGAAACAAAAATTAGTCAGGCGTGGTACCCTGTACCTATAGTTAGGGCAAAAAGTTAAAAAAAAGAAGAATATATAATTGATTATGTGAGTGGCACAGCTTGCTGATTCCAGTTGTCTCAATGACAAATTGACTTTATGACTTTATTTTCCTTTTTTTTTTTTTTTTAAATAGAGACAGGGTTTCACCATGTTGGCCAGGATGCTCTCGATCTCTTGACCTCGTGATCCTCCCACCTCGGACTCCCAAAGTACTGGGATTACAGGAGTGAGCCACCATGCCCGGCCCTTCTTTTTTCTTTTTTTTTTTGCTTGGCAGGCTCAAAAATTTTTTTTTTTTCCTTTTTCTATTTTTTTTTTTCTGAGACGGGGTCTGCTCTGTTGCCCAGGCTGGAATGCAGTGGCATGATCTCAGCTCACTGTAACCTCCGCCTTCCAGGTTCAAGCGATTCTCTTGCCTCAGCCTCCTGAGTAGCTGGGATTATAGGCAAGCACCACCATGCCGGGCTAATTTTTGTGTTTTTAGTAGACATGGGGTTTCACCATGGTGACCAGCCTGGTCTCGAACTCCTGACCTTATGATCCACCCACCTTGGCCTCCCAAAGTGCTGGGATCATAGGTGTGAGTCACTGTGCCAGGCTTATTTATTTATTTATTTTTATACACTACCCAGAAGCCACTTTGTTGGTTGCCTCTTCTAGTCCCTGTTCTGTGTACTTCCATCCTAACTTGGCTGAGCCTGTACTGCACAGTTCTGTGACATGTGTCCCTAGGTGACTCTGTCATCATTTGAACATCATAGAATGAATTTACACAAACCTAGATGGTATAGTCTACTACACGCCTAGGCTATGTGGAAGAGACTCTTGCTCCTAAGCTGCAAACCTGCACAGCATGTTACTATACTGAATACTATAGGCACTTGTAACACAATGATAAACATTTGTGTATCTCAATATATCTAAACATAGAAAAGGTACAGTAAAAATAGGGTATTATACTCTTATGGGCCATCACTGTATATACAGTCTGGCATTGGCCAAAATGTCATTATGCAGCACACAACTGTATATTTTTGCCTCTTAAAAAAAAATGTTACATATAGGTAGTCTTGACCCCAGTCACTGCACTGGGTTTTGGTGTGTTTTTTTTCTTTTCTTTTTTTTTTCTTTTGAGGTAGGGTCACTCAGGCCAGAGTGCAGTGGTGCGATTATGGCTCACTGTAGCCTCCAACTCCTGGGCTCGAGCAATTTGAGGCTGGCTTCAGCCTTCCCAGTAGCTGGGACTGGAGGCCCACATCACCATGCCTTGCTAATTTGTTTTGTTTTTGTTTGAGAGTTGCCCATGCTGGAGTGCAATGGCTTGATCTTGGCTCACCACAACCTCTGCCTCCTGGGTTCAAGCGATTCTCCTGCCTCACCCTCCCAAATAGCTGGGATCACAGGCATGTGCCACCAAGCCTGGCTAATTTTGTCTTTTTAGTAGAGACAAGGTTTTTCCATGCTTGTCTTGAACTCCTGACCTCAAGTGATCCAAAGTGCTGGGATTACAGGTGTGAGCCACTGCACCCGACCTATTTTGCCATTTTCATAAGGTAATTTTTAGAAATCTAAAAAACCCACTTAATACTGATGTCTGGTGATGCCTCTTGTTTGATTTTCCAAAAATAAATCTTATTCTTTAAAAGGTTTCGGATCTGACAGAGAAATTAGAGGAGAGGATCTATCAGATTTATAATGACCACAACAAGATCATCCAGGAAAAGCTCCAGGAGTTCACCCAGAAAATGGCAAAGATCAGCCATTTGGAAACAGAGCTCAAACAAGTCTGCCACAGCGTGGAGACTGTGTACAAAGACCTGTGTCTCCAGCCTGAGGTATGACCAAACTCACCCCGGGGGGTGCTGCCTGAGGAAGAGGGCAGGGATGGCCCAGCCAAGAGCAAATGTGAGCAGAAACCAGGCACCCACCCCTGAGCCAACCAGGACACAGTCCCTGCAAAGCCCTTGGTGCACTCGCCATCTTGTTTGTGGTCCCCTATGTTAGGTGTGTCTGAGCTGAGAAGCCAAACTGTTGTCATGTCCCACTGTTTTATGAGTAGCTCTGTGGTGACAGAAAGGACAAAGTCCCCTGCACCCTGCAACTCAGAAACCATCCCCTCTGCCCACAGCCCTGAGCCCCGCAGCCCTGGCACAACCCAGCACTGCTAACCTGGGTTTCTTTTTTACAGCAGAGCCTAAGACTCAGACGGCCAGACCACTCTAGAGGAAAGTCCCCACCATGTCCCAGCGACTCACAGCCCCCAGACGTGTTCGTTTCTTCTGTGGCTGAAACTACTTCTCAGGTGGTTACCAGTAAACTGACACCTTGGGGTCAGACACGTAGCTCTTTATTTTCCTCTCCCTCACTCTGCTCCAACATCCAGCATAAGGCACTACCCCTAGGCAGGAGGCTGGGAGGGCACACTGTGAACTTGGTGTGAGGGGGTCTGCTGGAGCAGACGGAGTTGCTTCAATGTCAGTCTCCTTTCAAGAGAAGTTGCTATTTCAGGGTAAATGGAGTTAGCTCTCATCCATGGTTAAAAGTGGATTGAGACACTCTAGAGAATTCCATCTTCTTTTTAAGGAACACAGCTGAACGACTTCAGAAGGGAAATTTTGATATTTAAAAATCAGTGTCTCTCACTTCCCACTCCATCCGCCACCTCCCTTTCTAAGCTCAGAGCACAGCATTTCTGCGGTCCAACCAGGCATCTCTCCAGGAAGGGGCTTCAGGGTTTTGGGCCCCTCATGGAGTGGGCTCACTTGCTGGCCGTGAACGCCTGGATTCCTGTGATAGCTCTCCCAAGGATCAGGGCGTGAATGTCATGTGTACCTGGACAAGATTAATACAGAGTCAGTTTGGAGTCTTCACAGCTCAGAACTTCCCTTTAAAATCAATTTTTATGTCCCCCCAGGCCACTGTTTTAGAACAGACCCACAGAGATGGTGAATGCTGACAGCTGCCGGGAGACCCACGCCTTAGTGACAGCCTCCAGGAGAAGGCTGAGAGGCCACCATTTGGGCCACACTGAGAAATTGTTTTTCAATTTTCTATAATGCATCTTGGCAGGAAAAAAAAACAAAAACCCAAAGCTCCTTGTGCTAAACTTTGCAGCAAGGAGCAAGTCTAGCCCCTGCGTGGGCCCAGCCTTCATGCTCCCTACACTTGGCAAGTTCACCGTCACCCCCACCTCAGTTGATTAAATGTTTGATTTTCAACCCAGCCATGCTTCCTTGCACAGAGGCTGAAAATACCCCTGAGCTCCAGGGCAACACAACAGGCCCTTTCTTACTCTCAGGAGGGTTGGAAGCGACAGCACATCAGAAATGCAGTCAGTTGCCTCTGCTGACCTCTGCCCACCTAAGGCCACCCCTCCCAGGAAGTCCCACACCCCACGACCTCAGGTCTCATCCTTTGCTCCTCCCTGGCTCCTTGGGGCAGAATGCAGATTGTAGCCTCCCTTTTAGAGCCAATTCTGTTTACTTCCCAAAGCACAAATCTATTTTTTTTTAGATAGGGTTTCACTCTGTCACCCAGGCTGGAGTGCAGTGGGGTGATCATAGCTCATTGTAACCTCAAACTCCTGGGCTCAAGCAATCTTCCCACCTCAGCCTCCCAAACTGCTGGGATTATAGGTGTGAACCACTACGCCCAGCCCCTAAAGCACCAAATCTGACCTATCCCCACTCTGCATAAAACTGTCTCCCAGCCCCCTCTGCTTGTCCTCAGGGTCATTCCCACCCTTGTAGGATCCCCCCAATTCCTAGCTGCCTAATAGATCTGGGGCTGTGGGGGTGCATGGGGAAGGTACCACGCCTGCATATGCTGTCCTGTCTGGAAGCCTCTCTGCCCAGGGGTTCCTCATACCTCCCTTTTTCTTTTGAGACAGAGTCTTGCTCTGTCGCCAGGCACCAGGCTGGAGTGCAGTGGCATGATCTTGGCTCACTGCAACCTCCAACTCCTGGGTTCAAGCAATTCTCCTGCCTCAGCCTCCTGAGTATCTGGGACTACAGGCACGTGCCACCATACCCAGCTAATTTTTATACTTTTTAATAGAGACAGGGTTTCACCATGTTGGCGAGGATGGTCTCCATCTTTTGACCTCATGATCCACCTGCCTCAGCCTCCAAAGAGCTGGGGTTACAGGTGTGAGCCACCGCACCCGGCCACCTTCCTCTTTTTCTGCATAGCTCACACTGGATTTGCATTTTTATTTATTTATTTATTTTCTCTCTCTCTCTTTTTTTTTTCTTTTTCTTTTTCTTTCCACACTATGAAGCAATGTGATATTGATTGATTGAGACTGAGTCTTGCTCTTGTTACCCCAGGCTGGAGTGCAGTGGTATAATCTCAGCTAACTGTAATCTCCAACTCCTGGGTTCAAGTGATTCTCCTGCCTCAGCCTTCCGAGTAGCTGGGATTACAGGTGCCTGCCACCACTCCTGGCTAATTTTTATATTTCTAGTAGAGATGGATGTGGTTTCACCATGTTGACCAGGCTAGTCTCAAACTCCTGACCTCATGATCTGCCTCAGCCTCCCAAAGTGCTGGAACTATAGGCATTAGCTACTAAGCCTAGCTGCAGTTTTTTTTTTTTTTCTGAGACGGAGTTTTGCTCTTATTACCCAGGCTGGAGTGCAATGGCACGATCTCGGTTCACCGCAACCTCCGCCTCCTGGGTTCAGGAAATTCTCCTGCCTCAGCCTCCTGAGTAGCTGGGATTACAGGCACACACCACCATGCCCAGCTAATTTTTTGTATTTTTTAGTAGAGACGGGATTTCACCATGTTGACCAGGATGGTCTCAATCTCTTGACCTCGTGATCCACCCGCCTCGGTCTCCCAAAGTGCTGGGATTAAAGGTGTGAGCCACCGCACTTGGCCCAGTTTTTTGTTTTTAAGTTTCTTTTTCCACATCTGTCTTCCCACCAAGCAAGGGGTTCTGGGCCCCCCCATTAAAATCATCATCAGTTGCAAGGTGCACACACCATAGTCTGAAGATGACTTTTCTTTTTCTCTTAAAATGGAGCAGTGAGTCCTGCGTGTAACTTCCCTCACTCCCTCACATCCACCAGCCTGCTAGGAGTCGGGCCTCATCCCTGGGCTGCCCTAGGAGCTTACTTGTTTCAGGAACATTCCTCTTCCCGAGTATGTGGGAGAAAGAGCTGGGAGCCCCTCGAAAGGCCTGATGGGGCCTCCCATCACTTCCACAATCCCCGTGTGAGCAACTTCAAATGAGGGACAGAGGGTGCAGCTCGCCCTGGCTCACACTGTCACTTGGTGACAGATGGAGTTGGACTCAGGCCTGTCCCTGTCCCACCCAGCTATTGAGGCTGCAGTGGGCCCTCCAAAGTTCAGCTCCCACCTTCATAGGTGTTGACGGCCTCCAGGTTCATGGCATGCCGGATCACGTGATACTCGTCAGAAATCCCATTTCCTCCCAGCATGTCTCGGGCCTGGCGGGCAATGTCCAGGGCTTTCCCACAGTTATTCCTCTTCAGTAGAGAGACCATCTCTGGAGTGGCCCTGGGAGAGGCACATACAGGTAATAAACGTTGGGGATCCTAGCTCCCGGTGCCCCAGGCAAACCTAGCCCCAGGTGAGGATTTCCCGATGCAGCCAAGCTCCCAGTGAGGGACTCATGGGGCTGTCCCCAGCCCAGCCCACCAAGGACAAGAGGGAGAGCAGAAGGTTCGGGTCTCTGATGCAACTAGGCAAGAAGGACTTTTATCTCTAGGAAGGACACAAGATCCTCCACCCACAGCTGTGGGCTCCCGACCCCTACCACACAGCCCCTACTTGTCCTGGTCCTTCAAGCGGCCGAGCTGCAGGCAGGCGTGAAGGCCCAGGGTGATCTCAGTGAGCATGTCTGCCAGCTTCTTCTGAATCAGCTGGTTCTTGGCCAGCGGGACACCAAACTGAATCCTAGATGGGCAACAGCTGGGTAAGGGCAAGGGGAGGCCCACTCTCCCACTCCATCCCTGTCCTGGGGCCCCCTGCTCCAGGAAGCCTTCCCAGGCTGCCTCAGTGCCCCTGAGCCCACCCTGGCCCTGCCATTGACTCAGCCCATGGCTGCTCAGAAGGACATCACTGGTCATTCCAGAGAAGGAACTCAGGCCTGGTAGGTGGGGGATGGGGAGTCACCCATGGGGTAGAGAATGAAACCCAAGCTGCCCACACTCCCGGGGATCTCATTGTGACCCCCCACACCTGTCCAGGGCATACTGCCGGGCTGTGTGAAAGCAAAACTCTGAAGCTCCAAGCACGCCCCACGTGATGCCGTACCGGGCATTGTTCAGGCAGCCAAAGGGACCCTGTAGGGTTGAGAGGACGCCTTAGCACCACCCAAGAGATACCAAGAGGCCCTATGCAGAACCAACTTAAGCAGGTAAAGCTCCCTCCCCAGCCACCCACACAGGCGGACTCAGGTTGCCATTCAAATCACAGAGGGCCCTGGCACTGAAGCTTGGTGCCTGCTTACTGGGTTTGTACACAGTCCCACCCAGCCTGGGATTGGGGTTCCATGCTCAGAGCTAGGAGGCTGATGGAAGCCCGAAGACGCACTGTGAGTCAAATGACTGAGCTGGTTCAGGCCCAGGTGTCCCGGGCAGAGCCAGGATGAGCAAGTTGGTCACCAAATGGGGGCAGGTTTCAGTACATCAGTGAGTCTGGCTGAGTAAAAATCACCACTGTGTGGGCTCCACAGTACACAGGGAGCTGGGTCCCCAGCACAGAGCCTGCCTGACAAAGGTGTACTGGCAGGTGACCCACACCCATTCCCAAAGTGGCTGCCACTCACTCCGAGGCTGGACGCACCAGGGAGCATGTTCTCTTCTGGTACCTCCACGCTGTCCATAATGATCATGCCTGTGGCCGAGGCCCGCAGTGAGAACTTGCCCTGGATCTTGGGAGCTGAGAGACCCCGCATCCCCTTCTCCAGCAGAAAGCCGCGAATGCAGCCATCTTCACACCGAGCCCACACCACAAACAGGTCAGCCATAGGTGAGTTGGTGATCCTGGGGATGGAACAGTCAGTGAGGGGTCTGGCCCTGTGCCCTGTCCACCACCTGCCCACTGTCCAGACCCCTTACCAGGTCTTGGTCCCATTGAGGGTGTAGCTCTTGTTGGATGAGTTGTAGCGGGCTCTGGTCTCCATGCTGCTGGGGTCACTTCCGCAGTTGGGCTCTGTGAGCCCAAAGCAGCCCAAGAGTTCCCCCTTGGCTGCAGGCACAAGACAAGGTCACAAGGCTGCCTGGTCCCTCATTCATTCCCCCATGCAAAAATATCCTCAAGGTGGGGCGCAGTGGCTCACACCTGTAATCCTAGCACTTCGTGAGGCCGAGGCCTCACAAGGTCAGGAGTTCAAGACCAGCCTGGCCAAGATGGTGAAACCCCGTCTCTACTAAAAGTACAAAAAAAAATTAGTTGGGCATGGTGGCACATGCCTGTAATCTCAGCTACTCAGGAGGCCAAGGCAGGGAATTGCCTGAACCTGGGAGTTAGAGGTTGCAGTGAGCTGAGACCATGCCACTGCACTCCAGCCTGGGTGACAGAGCAAGACTCTGTCTCAAAAAAAGAAAAAAAAAAAAGCAAGTTGTGGTGGCAGGCACCTGTAATTCCAACTACTCAGGAGGCTGAGGCAGGAGAATTACTTGAACCTGGGCAGGAGAGGTTGCAGTGAGCCAAAATCATGCACTGCACTCCAGCCTGGGCAGCACAGCAAGACTCCATCCCACCCCCCACAAAAAAAAACCAGCCTAACCAACATGATGAAACCCCATCTCTACTAAAAATACAAAAAATTAGGCCAGGCATGTTGGCTCATACCTGTTATCTCAGCACTTTGGGAGACCGAGGTGGGCAAATCACCTGAGGTCACTTGAGTTTGAAACCAGCCTGGCCAACATGGTGAAACCCCATCTCTACTAAAAATACAAAAATTAGTTGGGCATGGTGGTGTATGCCTGTAACCCCAGCTATTTGGGAGGCTGAGGCAGGAAAATTGCTTGAACCCGGGAGGGAAAGACTGCAGTCAGCCAAATCAGGCCACTGTATTCCAGCCTCGGTGACAGATGAAGACTCCATCTCAAAAAATAAATAAATAAAATTAAAATACCAAAATTAGCCAGACATGGTAGCAAGCACCTGTAATCCCAGCTCTCCGGCAGGCTGAGGCACAGAATCACTTGAACCCTGAAGACTGAGGCTGCAGTGAGCTGAGATTGCGCCACTGCACTCCAGCCTGGGGGACAGAATGAGACTCCATCTCAAAAAAAAAAAAAAATTACCCTCGCCCCTGAGCTAGGCCTCATAACCAAGGTGGATCTGGCCCTGCTTTCAGGGCATTCCCAGGTGGTGGAGGAGACAGGTTACCCCAAAGCCATAATCACAATGCCAACATGGGAAGGAGGCCTCAGGGAGTTGGGAAGGAGTCGGCCAAACTGGAAGGGCATGAGGAGTTCAGCAGGAGGAGGCTGTGGGAAGAGCAGTCCCAGGAGAGGCAACAGGATGTACAGAGGCCTGGTGGTACTTCTGGAGAATCTGAAGTAACTGAGTATGGCTGGGAGGAGCACTTTAGTGGCCAGAGATGATGTGGGAAGGTCAGTCAGCAGAAACCTGGTCACACAGGGCCTTATGGGTTTGTTTTTAGGAGACATGGGGTCTCCCTATGTTGCCCAGGCTGGTCTCGAACTCTTGGGCTCAAGGGATTGTCTCACCTCACTCTGTCAAAGTGCTGGGATTACAGATGTGAGCCACTGCACATGGCCAGCAGAGACCTGGTGGACTTTACACTTTGGGCTGGGCTAGGGAACACAGAAAGTATAGGGAGATGACAGTGGTCACAGAGGGGGACAATGAGGCTGGCCAGGGATCAGATGTCCAGGTGAAGCCCAGGTTCTACTAGAAAGTCCAGGTGGCCACTTATGCTACCTTTGAGATAGGGACAGAGTAGGCACAGGGGACAGCCCCACCCTTGAATTTCAGACCTCAGGGACTGTCTTCCTTCCACCAGGCCCCATGGGCAGCCACTCACCCAGCTGGGGCAAGTACTTCTGCCGCTGTTCCTCGCTGCCATAGGCATAGATGGGGTACATGACGAGGGAGGACTGGACACTCATCGCCGACCTGTAGCCACTGTCTATCCGCTCCAGCTCTCGGGCCAGGAGCCCATAGGCCACAGATGAAACCCCAGCACAGCCATATCCTGGTGGCAGTAAGAGGGGAAAGCAGGACAACAGAGAACACAGCCCTGCCCAGCTGGGACCCAAGAGGCAGAGCGGGATAAGGATGCACGGGAGATGGGCATCAAGCCAGCCCTAGCTGAGGTTTATTCATCTCGTCTCCATAGCCACTTTCTTTTTTTTTTAAAAAATATTTAACTGAGGGGCGCCCGCCCAAGGCTCTCCGAGTGGAGGTAGGGTCTCCATAGCCACTTTCAGAGGGTGGGACAATAGCCCCACTTTACAGACTGTGAAACTGGATTAGGGAAAGAAGGCGGTTTCAGAGAGGCAGGAGGATCACTTGAGACCAGTCTGGGCAATATAGCAAGACCCTGTCTCTAAAAAACAAACCAAAGGGGCCAGGTGCAGTGGCTCACGCCTGTAATCTCACTACTCTGGGGGGGGCTGAGACGAGTGGATCACCTGAGGTCAGGAGTTCAAGACGAGCCTGGCCAACATAGTGAAACCCTGTCTCTACCAAAAATACAAAAATTACCCTATAATCCCAGCTACTCGGGAGGCTGAGGTGGCAGAATTGCTTGAAGCTGGGAGGCAGAGGCTGCAGTGAGCCAAGATCATGCCATTGTACTCCAGCCTGGGCAACAGAGCAAGACCCTGCCTCAAAAAAAAAAGGGCCAGGTGTGGTGGCTCACACCTGTAATCCTAACACTTTGGGAGGCCGAGGCAGGTGGATTACCTGAGGTCAGGAGTTCGAGACCAGCCTAGCCAACATGGTGAAACCCCATCTCTACTAACACAAAAAAATTAGCCAGGTGTGGTGGTGGACACCTATAACCCCAGCTACCTGGGAGCCTGAGGAAGGAGAATCACTTAAACCAGGGAGGCAGAGGATGCAGTGAGCCAAGATGGTGCCACTGCACTCCAGCCTGGGCAACAAGAGTGAAACACTGTCTCAGGGAAAAAAAAAAAAAAAAAAAAGGCCAGGTACAGTGGCTGACACCTGTAATCTCCCAGCACTTTGGGAGCCCAAGGTGGGTGGATCACCTGAGGTCAGCAGTTCGAGACCAGCCCGGCCAACATAGCAAAACCCCATCTCTACTAAAAATACAAAAATTAGCCGGGCCTGGTGGCATGTGCCTGTAATCCCAGCTACTGGCAGGGGCTGAGGCAGAAGGTTCGTTTGCACCCGGTAGGCAGAGTTTGCAGTGAGCCCAGATTGTGCCACTGCACTCCAGCCTGGGCAACAGAGCAAGACTCCGTCTCAAAAAAGAAAAAAAGGAAGAAGAAAAGGAAAGGAAAAGAAAGAGAAGGAAGGAAAGAAAAAAGGGAGGGAGGAAGGGAGGGAAGGAAGAGCCTCTGCAGTATGTGGAGAGGCACTTGTTCCTACCTTTGATGGTGGGGCCCAGCACACCCAACTCCCCCATCTCCGAAATGATCTCCCGATGAAAAACTGCAAAGGGACAAGTGCCGAAATTCAGGCCCAGCGCTAGGCCAATGGAGGCCCCAGCCCCAAACACAGAGGGGCCTTGAGGTGGGCTGGGTGTGGCTCCAGGAGAAGGAGCAGCCTCAGAGCACCACCCGCCTGCTCCCACACCTTCGTTGCGATTGGCCAACAGGATGCGAGGCATAAGTCTCTCCTGGCAGTAGGTGCGGAAGGTGTCCCTGATGAGAATCTCATCTGTCGTCAGCTGCTCCTCCAGCACCAGCGGATCCTGCCAGTCAAACTGGGGACGCAAGGCTGGGGAGGGGAGCAGGATTTCGCCTCGGTCCAGTCCGCCTGACCACTGCGCCCTCCCTTATCGAACCCTCAGCTCTACCCCTCCACACCGATGTCGCTCCCCCACCCAGGCTACTGCCAGTTGCAAACGAGACTGAGCAGGTGACGTTTCTCCAGCCCCGCAGGCACAGCGCACTCACGCCTCAGTGCCTCTGACCCTGGCCACGACCCTGCCACCCCCGCTAGGCAGCCCGCGGATTCTGGGACAGAGTCCACCTGAGGCAGACTGACAGCTTGTCCAGGACAGGGGCAGCAGACACACGGCGCGACCAGGAGTCCTTACACTTGGTCGGTCGGCTCTGTGTCCTCCCGCCTTTCTCTGCAAACACAGAACGGGTCAGTCACCCCCAGAAAGTCCCTAAACCCCCAGTTCCTTCCTCCTTCTCTCCACACTCCCGACCTCGCACTGACCTGTCTGCGCCGCCGTCGAGACCCACGTGCGAAGGACGCGCAGGCCGGGTCCGCGGCTCAGCAGCCGCGCGGAGACGCCTCTCAGAGCCATGTTCTCTCAGGGCGAGCTAGCGGAGCAACGATGGCGACCTACAGGAGCGGGGGCGTCAGAGCAGAACTCCCCTCAACCACCGCTCGGGTCACCGCACCTTCCTCACCTGTCCCTGACTGGGCTCACTGACGAGGCTACGGTGCAACTGACCAAGGCCTTCGACCTCAGCAAGAGATGGGAGGAGCGGAGGCAGAGTGAGCCTTCTCATTGGTTCCTCCTAGTATCCGGCCCCGCCTCAGCTCTGTGTTTTAAACGGGCTACGGCAGCCTTGCCTGTGGAGACAGGGGCCCCCAGACAGAGGAAGGTTAGCCCCTTTAAGAAGCGGCCGGGGAAGGGGAGGAAGGCGAGTGCGGGAAACCGATTGGCCAGCTGGGTTTCTACCTCTTATTGGCCGTATGGTAGCATTTGACCCATTCCTGGTTGGTCAGTTGCAGGGGGTGTGTGCGGAGGAACCAGGAATTAAACAAAGAAATTCAGGCACGAGGACTAGGAGTTCCTCCTGAACCCAGGAGGCCAGACTCAAGTTCTCTAGTTGGACACTGGTTGTGGGGAAGATGAGCGCCAAGTGGGCGATCTTAGCAAACCTGCCTGCCAGTCTGTGTTTTTTGTTTTGTTTTTGTTTGTTTTAGATCGAGTCTCACTGTGACGCCCAGGCTGGAGTGCAATGCAATGGCGCCATCTCGCCTCACTTCAACCTCCGCCTCCCGGGTTCAAGTAATTCTCCTGCCTCAGTCTCCCAGGTAGCTGGAATTACAGGCGCACACCACCACGCCTGGCTAATTTTTGTATTTTTAGTAGAGACGGGGGGGAGTTCACCATGTTGGCCAGGCTGGTCTCGAACTCCTGACCTCAGGTGATCCGGCCCCCCTCGGTCTCCCAAAGTGCAGGGATTGCAGACATGAGTCACCGCACCTAAACCTTGTATTTTTTTTTTTTATTATTAGACAGGGACTCGTTCTGTCGTCCAGACTGGTGTGCAGTGGCGCGATCATAGCTCACTGCAGCTTCCATCTCCTGGGCTTAAGCGATCCTGCCACCTCAATCTCCAAGTAGCTGGGACCACTGAAGCATGCCATCCTGCCTGGCTAATTTTTTTTTTTTTTTTTTTCTGAGATGGAGTCTCATTCTGTTGCCCAGGCTGGAGTGCAGTGATGCAATCTCGACTCACTACAACCTCCATAGGCAGAGCAGGGCTGCTGGTTGCCCATTTTTATGGTTATTTGTTTATTTATTTGAGAAGGAGTTTTGCTCAGTCGCCAGGCTGGAGTGCAGTGGCGAGATCTCAGCTCACTGCAACCTCTGCCTCCCTGGTCAAGTGATTCTCCTGACTCTGCCTCCTTAGTAGCTAGGACTACAGGCACGTGCCACCACGCCCCGGCTAATTTTTTGTATTTTTAGTAGAGACAGGGTTCACCTTAGCCAGGAAGGTCTCAATCTCCTGACCCCATGACGCACCCACCTCAGCCTCCCAATGTGCTGGGATTAAAGCGTGAGCCACAGCACCCATCCCCATTTCTTTTTTATTTAATTAAACAAATTAATTAATTTTTTTTTTTTTTTTTTGAAACAGAGGCTTGCTCTGTCACCTGGGCTGGAGTGCAATGGCGCTTTCTCAGCTCATTGCAACTTCCACCTCCCCGGCTCGTGATTCTCATGCCTCAGCCACCCAAGTAGCTGGGATTACAACTCTTTAGTAGAGATGAGGTTTCCCCGTGTTGCCCAGGCTGGTCTTGGACTCCTGACCTCAGGTGATCCACCTGCCTTGACCTCGAAAAGTACCAGGATTACAGGTGTGAGCCACCACACTTGGCCCTATTTTTATGGTTATTTCTTGATGATATGCTTGTAGGGTTCAGCCCTACAGGATCATGAGATGTCCCCTATCGCTGTGCTGAGGCACAGGATCCGAGAAATAAAGAGACGAGACACAGAAGGACAAAGAAAGCGCAGCTGGGCTCTGGAGAGCCACGCCACCTACCAGCGGAGATAAGTGAGGCCCCAAACATCCAGGAGCATCTGTATTGGGTATAGGTTAGGGGGCAGGGTAGTGAGTGAGATCATCTTTAAGGATAGTGATAGGGTCAAGACATTCACATGAGCGATAAACAATGGGTCCCCCCCCAATTAGGTCATCTAGGTTAGGAGGTGGGCAGTGCACAGCAAGGGGTCCACCCCCATTAGGTCACCGAGGCAAGGAGGTGAGCTGTGCACAGTGAAGAAGATGCAGTGTGCAATATCTCTTATTGGGGGAAGCTACTTCTAAGGAATTCTATAGGAGGACGCTTTGAGTCAGCACAGCAGCTAGAGAGCTGACAGGGAATACAGCCGCCAAGGTGAGATTATACCAAAGGGGTTTTAAGCCCTCGGACACTCTCGAGCTTGCCAGCCTGAGGCCAGCTTTCACAAGAACTGGATGCAAGGTACTGCAACTCCTTTTCAGGAGGACTGACTCTTGCTCCAAGCCTGCCATACAACAGGTATCTTTACAATACTGACCGCTGCCACCTGGGCCAGCCTGCCATGTAGTGCGTGTCCTTCCAGGCAGAGGCACTACTGCCTGGGCCATAGATTCTTGTCCTGGTATAACTGTTTTTCCCTTAAATCATGCTCTGCACCGTGTCAGCTCTAGACATTCCTCCGACTATAAGCAAGATATGATTATATATATATAAATATATATATATATGGCTGTTTATTCTTTAATTCATGCTCTATACCATGTCTGCTCCAGACATTCCTCCTATAAAATAAGATATATAAATATATGTATATATAAAGGAAATAACTGAGTAGTAAGATATTCTTCAGGCACTAATTGTTCCAACTATAAACGAATACATGATTATATATAAAAGATTATATAAAGGAAAGAACTGAGTAGTAACACTACAAACTAAGATATTCTTCAGGCAATAATTGTGCCAGGGGTCTGCTTAGCTCTCCTTCCTTGGTGCCCAGAAGGGGGGTTACCCACAATGGTACTAAACAAGGGGTAGATTATTCATGTCTCCCCTTTTTAGACCATATAGGGTAACTTCCTGACATTGCTATGGCACTTGTAAACTGTCATGGTGCTGATGGGAATGCAGCAGTGAGGATGATCTGAGGTCACTGCCATTGCCATTTTGGTTTTGGTAGGTTTTGGCCAGCCTCGTGGCTGCAAACTGTTTTATCAGCAAGGTCTTTATGACCTGTATCTTGTGACCTAGTTTATAATTTCTAGATCACTTGAGCCCAGGAGTTTCAGACCAGCCTGGGCAACATGGCAATACTATGTATCTATAAAAAGTACAAAACTTAGCCTGGCAGGGTGGCATGGATCTGCACTCCCAGCTGCTGGGAAGGCCACATGTCCTCAGCCACAGGGAGCCAGCCACACAGAGACATCTAAACTGTCATGCAGACCCAGGGAGACAGACCACCAAATAAACAGACTCAGTGGACACTCATACAAGCTCCGTGGTGGCCCTGGACAGCAGGAAAGGGCGTGGGGTGAGGCTTCCCAGGGACCCCAGTCTAGAAAGGGGCTTCCTACCATGACTTCTCCCGAAGCACTGCATGGTGACTGGCATCAACTGTCAATGGTTATGGGTCATATAAAAACACCTCTCCTGGATTGAGACCATCCTGGTCAACATGGTGAAACCCCGTCTCTACTAAAAATACCAAAAAAATTAGCTGGGCGTTGTGGCGCATGCCTGTAATCCCAGCTACTCGGGAGGCTGAGGCAGGAGAATTGCCTGAACCCAGGGGGCGGAGGTAGCGGTGAGCCGAGATTGCGCCATTGCACTCCAGCCTGGGTAACGAGAGCGAAACTCTGTCTCAAAAAAAAAAAATACCTCTCCTGGGCTGGGTGCACTGGCTGACACCTGTAATCCCAGCACTTTGGGAGGCTGAGGCAGGTGGATCACTTGAAGCCAGAAGTTCAAGACCAACCCGGACAACATGGTGAAACCCTGTCTCTACTAAAAATACAAAAACTAGCCCGGTGTCATGGTATGTGCCTGTAATTCCTGCTGCTCAAGAGGCTGAGGGAGGAGAATTTCTTGAACTTGGGATGCGAAGGTTGCAGTGAGCCAAGATCGCTCCACTGCACTCCAGCCTGGGCAATAGAAAAAGACTTTGTCTAAAAAACAAACAAAAAAAAATCTCCCAGCCTGGGTGTGGTAACTCACCCCTGTAATCCCAGCATGTTCAGGTGGGTGAATCACTTGAGTCCAGGAGTTTGAGACCAGCATGGGTAACATGGCAAAACCTCATCTCTACAAATAATTAGCTGGGTATGGTGACATGCACCTGTAGTCTCAGCTTCTTAGGAGGCTAAGGTGGGAGGATTGCTTGAGCCCAGGAAGCAGAGTTTGCAGTGAGCTGAGATTACACTACTTAACTCCAGCCTACATAACAGAGTGAGACCCTGTCTCAAAAAAAAAAAAAAAAAAATGGAAGAAAGAAAAATATCCCTGACCTCCCAGATAAAGCTTCAGCATGGGCCTCAATTTTTGGGTTTTGGGGGCTGTAGGATGGCAGGAGGCTGTAACAACAGAGGTCATATTAGAGGGCCTTACACACCCTCATCCCCTAAACTTCAGTGACACCCCTCACCTCCAACAAGCCCCTCGAGCACCGCAGGCCTGCTGTCCTCTCTTCTTTCGACCAGGTCAGGCTATACCATCCTTGTCATCTGCCTCAAGCCCCGGGGACATTGACAGCAAACATCTCTCTGCATTTAGAAGTCCATAGCCTGTGAGTGCCCAGGGTGTTCATCTTGCCCCCTGCCCAGATAGAGCCAATTTATCCAGACAGGGGGATTGCAATAGAGAAAGGGTTTAATCCACATACAGCTAGCTAAATGGGAGATTATTACTTGAATCAGCCTCCCTGAAAATTCAGGGGCTAGGGTTTGTCAAGAACAGTTTGGTGGGCAGGAGGGCTAGGGAATGGGTGCCTTGGATGCAGTCATGGGGGTGTGGGAAACAGTTGCTGCATCGGCTTCTTGGTGGGGACCATAGAGTAGCTGCTAGCCCTGGTGGGGTCACCCAGCTGTCAGATATGCAAAAAGCCTAAAAAGACATCTCAAAAGGCCAATCTTAGGTTCTGCAATAGTCATGTTATTTACAGGAATAATTGGGGAAGTTGCGAGTCTTGTGACCTCCGGAATAATGGCCATCATTTAACTATACATCTTAGCAGAATTCAGGCCCCTCCCGTCCTCCTAACCTAGTGCCTTTCCATTAGTTCCACAAAGTCAGTTTAGTTTTGGAAAGGGCTATGATCACTTATTTATTTTATTTTATTATTTATTTATTTATTTGGAGGTGGAGTCTTACTCTGTCACCCAGGCTGAAGTGCAGCAGCATGATCTCAGCTCACTGCAACCTCCACCTCCTGGTTCGAGCAAGTCTCCTGCCTCAGCCTCCCAAGTAGCCAGGATTACAGGCGCCTGCCAGCACATCCAGCTAGATTTTGTAGTTTTAGTAGAGATGGGGTTTCACCATGTTGGCCAGGATGATCTAAATCTCCTGACCTCATGATCCGCCCACCCCGGCCTCCCAAATTCGCCCTCGGCTGGAATTACAGGTGTGAGCCGCTGCGCCGGCTATTTTTTATTTTGTATTTATTTATTTTTGTAGTGGAGTCTTGCTCTGTCACCCAGGCTGGAGTACAGTGGCACAATCTCCACTCACTGCAATCTCCACCTCCTGGGTTCAAGTGAGTCTCCTGTCTCAGCCTCCCAAGTAGCTGGGATTACAGGCATGCACCACCATGCCTGGCTGATTTTGTATTTTTAGTAGAGACAGGGTTTCTCCATGTTGGTCAGCCTGGTCCTAAAGTCCCGACCTCGGGTGATCCACCTGCCTGAGCCACCCAAAGTGCTGGGATTACAGGCATGAGCCACCACACCCGGCCATAACTGTGTGTGTTTTTTTAAGAGATAGAATCTTGCTATGTTGCCCAAGCTGTTCTTGAACTCCTGGGCTCAAGCATTCCTCCTACTTTGGCCTCCCAAAGTGCTGGGACTGCAGGCATGAGCCGCTGTGCACAGCCTGTTTTGTTTTTGTTTTTTAGAGACAGGCTGGCATGCAGTGGCATGATCTTGGCTCACTGTAACCTCTGCCTCCCAGGTTCAAGTGATTCTCGTGCCTCAGCCTCCAAAGTAGCTGAAATTAGAGGCATGTGCCATCATGCCCAGCCTATTTTTATATTTTTAGTAGAGACAGGGTTTCACCACGTTGGCCAGGCTGTTCTCCAACTCCTGGCCTCCAGTGATCTGCCCTACTTGGCCTCTCAAAGTGCTGTGATTACAGGCATGAGCCACTGCGCCTGGCCCCCTGTCTCCCAGTTTCAAGCAATTCTCCAGCCTTAGCCTCCTAAGTAGCTGGAATTACAAGCATGTGCCACCACACCCAGCTAATTTTTGTATTTTTAGCAGAGACAGGGTTTCACCATGTTGGCTAGTATGGTCTCAAACTCCTGGCCTCATGTGATCTGCCCACCTTGGCTTCCCATAGTGCTGGGATTACAGGTGTGAGCCACCACTTCGCCTGGCCTTGTTTTTGTTTATGTCACCAAGGTTGACCTGCCAGAAATAAAGATAGCCACTCGACTTAAAAAAAATTTTTTTTTCCAGCGACAGACCCCCCCAGGCTGGACTGCAGTGGTGTGATCACAGTTCAGTGCAGCGCCCCCCTCCTGGGCTCAGGCGACCCTTCCACCTCAGCCTCCTGAGTAGCTGGGACTATGGGCATTCACCCCCCCCACCCCGCACCACCCCCCACCCCCACTTTTCTTTGGACAGACAGGTTCTATGTTGCCCAGGCTGGTCTTGAAATCCTGATGTCAAGTGATCCTCCTGCCTGTCTCCCAATGAGTGACTATGAATTATGTCTGTAATATGTATCCATGTCCCCTTTTCAGGCTCCCAGGGCACCAGAGTGGAGATCCCTGTTGCAAAAACTCAGATCCTTTCCTCACATTGGGCAGAATCAAGGAGCAGCCAGGCCCAGAGCCAGGATACAGGTCTCCTGCAGGTCAGGTAGTTCCCATGACTTGGTACAACATTCCTATCCCACCCGGGAGGAGACAGGGTCACTTTACCCTCGGCTGCCCCTGTTGCACTGGAGCAGCTGGCACTGAACCAGTCTCCATGCAGATCCACATAGTGCCACCCGAGGGTCCCCTGTAGACGATGGTGGGCCAGTTGGCAGGGGCTCCCTCCTGCTGCAGAGCTAAGACCCTGGGAGGTCCCAACGCAGGCAAACTGAAAGCCAGGCTAATTTAAAGACCCAACCCCCAGGCCTCCCACTCACCGGAGGACAGCGCTCTGGCTGGCCTGGGCCACCCTAGATAGCAGCCTCCAGCATCTGGGGTGTCTGATAATGCTTGGCAGGGAGTTTGTGCCAAGTCCCGCCATCAGTACAGTTGTTGTTTAGTGGGGAGGGGGAGGGCTATGGAGCCTCAATCGGGGGACAGGGGTCCCACAGCTTCTCCTCAGAATACCCTTTCTGCCTGTCACCCCTTTTCCAGGAAAGTAAACTGAGAACAGGCCCCCAAGTCTCTCCTTCTTTGGAGACCCAATGTCTCTTTTTACCTAGCACCTGGACCCTCAAACCCTGAACCCCCCAACCACTGACATTGACTTGGCTGTGGATACAGGGTTACTCTTTAAGCCCCAGCCCCAAACAGGCCAATGTGAGGTTTGTGCCCCAGAAACAGTGACCCCCGCCTTGCCTTGCCTCCCCTTATCAGAGTCTGCAGCCAATCAGCTAAGTGCAGAGAGCAGCCCTCCAAGGGGCTATTACAGCCTCAGAGTTCACGAGGCAGCTGAGGAAGAGGAGGCCTGACACCCAGAGTGGGCACCAGCCAGCCATGGCCACAGCTGAGACCGCCTTACCCTCCATCAGCACACTGACTGCCCTGGGCCCCTTACCGGACACGCAGGATGACTTCCTCAAGGTGGGGCCTAGAAGGTGGGGTCTAGGTGGGCTGGCTGGGATCCAGGGTCACAGTCACAGATCTTGGGGTCCAGACCTGCATCTTGCCCTGAAATCAAGAGACCTAACCAGGACTGAGGTACTCTCAGTCCAGGTGAGGGGGTCTCAGCTTAGTCTGGCAGGCAGTAGGGATGGTCTAGGGGTTTGAGGTTCTAGGTGTGATCTATTTCTGTAATAGAAAACAAAGGTAGCCTGGGCCATGGTGAAACCCCATCTCTACAAAAAAATATCAGAAGAATTAGCCAGGCATGGTGGCATGTGCCTGTAATCCCAGGTACTTGGTAGGTTGATGCAGGAGGGTCATTAGAGCTCAGAAATTCAAGGATACTGTGAGCCACACCACTGCACTCCAGCCTGGGCGAAAAGAGTGAGACCCTATCTCAAGAAAAAAAAAAAAAGGAAAGAGATCTAGGCTCAGAGACAATCTTCTAGATCTCACCAGGAAATGGTGAATGAGTCTGGGGGACATCCAAAATTTCGGAATTAATCTTGTCAGGAGACAGAGAAGGAGAGGGATGTTCTGGGGGGAAACTGAGTCAAGGCTGGCACCCCTCCCCCATCCCCCACCAGCTTTCCATCTCCAGCGGCTCTGCTACCCCTTCCCCCATCCCCAAGTGTGGTACCAGATAATGGAAGTCTTATCTCCTGTCTCCAGCCAGACCTGATCGACTCCTGTCCCTGGAGCTGGGGAGGGACTGGGGGTTAGAGGGGAAGTGTTGGTGGGGCGGGGCAGACAGGCAAACAAGACCCCTTTCTAAGGTCTCTGGCCAGCCTGTCCCTGTCAGAGTGCCCAGCCCGCGATGTCCATGGGCAGGACACCCCAGGGTCCACCAAACCTGAAGCTGCCTGCTCCCTTCTGCAGTGGTGGCGCTCTGAAGAGGCGCAGGACATGGGCCCAGGTCCTCCAGACCCCACTGGGCCGCCTCTCTACGTGAAGTCTGAGGACCAGCCCGGGGAGGAGGAGGACGATGAGAGGGACGCGGACGCCACCTGGGACCTGGATCTCCTCCTCACCAACTTCTCGGGCCTGGAGCCGGGTGGCGTGCCCCGGACCTGCGCTCAGGCGCCCAGCGAGGCCACCGGGGCGCAATACCCGCCGCTGTCTGAGACTCTGGGCACCTATGCGGGCCGCCCGGGGCTGGTGGCTGGGCTCTTGGGTTCGGAGGATCACTCGGGTTGGGTGCGTCCTGCTCCGCGAGCCCCGGTCCCCGACGCCTTCTTGGGCCCAGCCCTGGCTCCAGCCCCGGCCCCCGAGCCCAAGTCACTGCAGCTGCAGCCGGTATACCCGGGGCCCGGCGCGGGCTCCTCCGGCGGCTACTTCCCGCGGACTGGGCTTTCCATGCCTGCGGCGTCGGGCGCCCCCTACGGGCTCCTGTCCGGGTACCCTGCGGTGTACCAGGCGCCGCAGTACCAAGGGCACTTCCAGCTCTTCCGCGGGCTCCAGGCACCCGCTCCCGGTCCCGCCACGCCCCCTTCCTTCCTGAGTTGTCTGGGACCCGGGACCGTGGGCACTGGACTCGGGGGGACTGTAGGGGATCCAGGTGCAATAGCCGAATCCGCGCCATCCAAGCGCGGCCGACGTTCGTGGGCGCGCAAGAGGCAGGCAGCGCACACGTGCGCGCACCCGGGATGTGGCAAGAGTTACACCAAGAGCTCCCACCTGAAGGCGCATCTGCGCACACACACAGGTGAGGGGGCGGGACCCGGGCGCCGAGACGGGGCTGGAGGTGGGGCCCGGGGAACGCGGAGCCGGGAGCAAGGGGAGGGTCCAGAGTCCAAGACCAGATTCTTGGGGTAGACCTGTAACTCCAGAGGCGGGGCTAAAAGCAGTATCTCAGAGCAAGGGGCGGGACAGAGGCTGCAGCTAGCAGGTCGGGCACCTACTGGCCAGGGCCAGAGGACAGGATCCGGGTAGGGAAGGCAGATGGGCAGAGACAGGGTCTGGGAAACCTGGGGAGCATTTTAAGGCTGGGGACTGACGAGTAAGACCTGGGCCGTGGATGGGCAGAGGAGCAGAAAGGACAAGTGGCCTAAGGGGTTGGCTTGAGGAGGGACTGCAGGAAGGGAACAAGTGAAATGCCAGGGGCTAGGCCGGGCGTGGTGGCTCACACCTGTAATCCAAGCACTTTGGAGGCCAAGGCGGGCACCTGAGGTCGGGAATTCAAGACGAGTCTGACCAACACGGTGAAACCCCGTATTTATTAAAAGAAAAAAAAAATCAAAAAGAAATGGAAAAAAAGAAAAAAAAAGAAAGAAAGAAATGCCAGGGGCTGTGGAGCCATAACCTGGGGTATTCCCAGGCACGAGGCTGTGGCTGCTTCTTTTCTTTCTTTCTTTTTTTTTTTGAGACAGAGTTTCGCTCTTGTTACCCAGGCTGGAGTGCAATGGCGCAATCTCGGCTCACCACAACCTCCACCTCCTGGGTTCAGGCAATTCTCCTGCCTCAGCCTCCTGAGTAGCTGGGACTACAGGCACACACCACCATGCCCAGCTAATTTTTTGTATTTTTAGTAGAGACGGGATTTCACCAGGTTGACCAGGATGGTCTCAATCTCTTGACCTCGTGATCCACCCGCCTCGGCCTTTTTTTTTTTTCCCCGAGACGGAGTCTCCCTTTGTCGCCTAGGCTGGAGTGCAGTGGCGATCTCGTCTTACTGCAACCTCCGCCTCCCGGGTTCAAGCGATTCTCCTGCCTCAGCCTCCGGAGTAGATGGGACTACAGGCACGCGCCACCATGCCCGGCTGTTTTTTTGTTTGTTTTGTTTTGTTTTGTTTTGTTTGTTTTTGGTATTTTTAGTAGAGACGGGGTTTCACCATGTTGGCCAGGATGGTTTCCACCTCCTGACCTCGTGATCCGCCTGCCTCCGCCTCCCAAAGTGCTGGGATCACAGCCATAAGCCACCGCACCCTGCAGAGGTTGCCTCTTATATAGGCGGATCCAGAGGTGGCAGGGGCACATCCGGGTGAGACCTAAGGGCAGAATCAGTGTCAGGGGCCACTCAAAGAGGAAGGGGCCCAGATCAGGCACAGGGGCTTAAGCCTGCACTTTGAGAGGCACTCCCAGTGCTTTGGGTGGCCGAGGCAGAAGGACTGTTTGAACCCAGGAGTTTGAGACCAGCCTGGGCATCATGGTGAGACCCTGTCTCTACAAAAGAAAAAAAAAGGGTAGGGACCCAGATGTAAACGGCTGGTTTGGGAAGGCAGGAAGAAGAACTGGGAAAGAGCAGAGGGGTGTGGCATGGAAGGAGAAGCCCAATGAACAGAAGATGAGGTGGGGCTAAGAAATGGAGGAGGGGTGAGGACTGTGCCTAAAGGGGTCAGGACAGAGGATGGGGCGAGGTGTACAGACCCGTCTGGGGAGGGGCGGGGGAGGGGCCAGGCATAGCAGAGGGAGAGAGTGTGATCACTGGGGACAGGATCTGGGGACTAGAGTGGATTTCCAGGCTCAGAAACCAAGGTCACAGGCAAAGTTGAGCACTAACTGGGGAGACCCTTGGAACAAGGAATGGGCTGGAACACAGGAAGCAGAACAAAAAAATAAGGGAGGGATGGCATTAAGATTCAAAGCTGGGGCTGTGTGAGGTGGCTCACACCCATAATCCCAGTACTTTGGGAGGCCAAGGTGGGTGGATCACCTGAGATCAGAAGTTTGAGACCAGTTTCGCCAGTATGGTGAAATCTCATTTCTACTAAAAATACAAAAATTAGCCAGGCATGATGGCAGGCACCTGTAATTCCAGCTGCTCAGGAGGCTGAGGCATAAGAATCACTTGTACCCAGAAGGTGGAGGTTACAGTGAGTCAAGATGGTGCCATTGTACTCCAGCCTGGCTGACAAGAGCTAGACTCCATCTCAAAAAAAAAAAAAAAGGAAGACTAGGTGCAGTGGCTCACACCTGTTGTCATCCCAGCACTTTCGGAGGCTGAGGCAGGTGAATCAGCTGAGGTCAGGAGTTCGAGACCAGCCTGGGCAACATGGTGAAACCCTGTCTCTACTAAAAATACAAAAATTAGCCAGGCATGGTGGCATGAGCCTGTAATCCCAGCTACTTAGGAGGCTGAGGCAGAAGAATCGCTTGAACCCAAGAGGTGGAGGTTGCAGTGAGCCAAGATGAAGCCACTGCACTCCCTCATGGGCGATAGAGTGAGACTCCGTATCAAAAAATAGAACAAAAACAGATTCAAAGCTGGGTTACCAGGACACAGAAAGTGGGGCCAGGAGTGTAGGGAACTGGCTTGGGCCCAGGACGTGACAAAGGGCATGGCACCCAATGCAGTTACAGAAGAAGGGCTGCAGAGGGCGGGACTTGGACTTGGCCTTGGCCTCTGAGAGTGAGTGCCTCCTTAAAGTTTGTGCCCTAGGGGCCTCCCTTTGCTCATCCTAGTCCCAGCCCAGGCTGAGTGAAAGGGTGTTGCCTGATGCAGGGGACCTGGGGACAGGACTGGGCTGACAGTGGCTTTCTCATCTCCTAGGGGAGAAGCCATACGCCTGCACGTGGGAAGGCTGCGGCTGGAGGTTCGCGCGCTCGGACGAGCTGACCCGCCACTACCGGAAGCACACGGGGCAGCGCCCCTTCCGCTGCCAGCTCTGCCCACGTGCTTTTTCGCGCTCTGACCACCTGGCCTTGCACATGAAGCGTCACCTTTGAGCCCTACCCTGGCACTTGGACCCTCCTGGGGACTGGAGATGGGACAAGAGTGGATCAACACCGGGTGGTTTTCCCAAGACCCTCACCTGGACTCCCAGTCCTACAGATCCACCAAATATCAAACATGGACCCATAGACAGCTCTCAGGGAGCCTCCTACAGAAACGCTGACAAGTCCTCAGCCACAGGAAGCCACGCAGAGATGTCCAAACTGTCATGCAGACCCAGCGAGACAGATTGCCAAATAAACTCACTCAGTGGACACTCAGCTCAGCTCCCAGATGGCCCTGGACAGCAGGAGGGGGTGTGGGGTGAGGCTCTCCAGAGACGCTGGTCTAGAAGGGGGCTCCTGAAGGCCCCTTATGGTGGTCGACATTAACCGTCAATGGCTATGGGTCCTATAAAAATGCCCCTCCCAGATAAAGCTTCAGCGTGGGCCTGAGTTTTTCAGTTTTGGGGGCTGAAATATGGCAGGAGGCTATAAACCTAGAGATCATCTTAGAGGGCCTTACACACCCTGGTCTCCTAAACTACAGTGACACCCCCTCACCTCCAACAAGCCCCCTTGGGCACCACAGGCCTTGCTGTCCACTCGTTTCCTGCCCACACCATGCTTGTCTAATGCCTTGAACCCTGCGGACATCGACAGCAAACATCTTTCCGCATTTAACAGTCCACATCCTGTGGCCGGGCGGAGTGGCTCACCCCTGTAATGCCAGCACTTTAAGGGGCCGAGGCAGGCAGATCACAAGGTCAGGAGATCAAGGCCATCCTGGCTAACATGATGAAACCCCGTCCCTACTAAAAATACAAAAGGTTAGCTGGGTGTGGTGGCATGCGACTGTAATCCCAGCTCCTTGGGAGGCTGGGGCAGGAGAATCACTTGAACCCAGGAAGCAAAGGTTGCAGTGAGCCGAGATCATGCCACTGCACTCCAGCCTGAACCACAGAGTGAGACTTAGCCTCAAAAAAAAAAAAGCCTGTGTGAGGTGGCTCATGCCTGTAATCCCAGCACTTTGGAAGGCTGAGGCAGGCAGATCACGAGGTCACCTTATCGAGACCAGCCTGGCCAACATGGTGAAACCCCATCTCTACTAAAAATACAAAAATTAGCTGGGTGTGGTGGTGCGCGCCTGTAATCCCAGCTACTCAGGAGGCTGAGGCAGGAGAATCGCTTGAACCCAGGAGGTGGTTGCAGTGAGCCGAGATCGTGCCACTGCACTCCAGCCTGGCGACAGAACGAGACTCTGTCTCAAAAAAAAAAAAAAAAAAAAAAAACAGAGAGAGAGAGAGAACAAATGTCACAAGAGTTGGACCCAGGTTGCAGGGCTAGGAAAAAATTCAAACTTGGGCCTGGTCCAGAAACGGGGCAGGAGTGGGTCGGACAGAAGAGCATGGCTGGGATTAGCTACAACGAAAAGGAACAGTGGCCAGGCTGGAAGAGACGCCGGAGCGCCTGGCCCGTCGTGGGCGTGGTCTGAGCAGACCCGGGGATGCCTGTCCAAAGCGCAGCGTCGCGTCTCGGGGGCGGAGTCTCTGCCCTCGTGATGTCCCCGCTGTGGTTCCTGGGCGAGTTTTGGAGAAATGAAAGCCGCTAGGGGCCAGGCCAAGCCTCTTTCGTAACCCAGCGCCCCGCAGTCCCGACACAGATTCCTGGATCTCAGCCCTATAGCAGCGATGATCCCGCTGCCGCTGCTGGCCGCGCTGCTGTGCGTCCCCGCCGGGGCCCTGACCTGCTATGGGGACTCCGGGCAGCCTGTGGACTGGTGAGTGCGCAGGGGGGCGCCTACCATTGTCCCGGGGTCCGGCGGGGGTCACTCGACCGGATGGCTGCCTCCTCGGGGAAGCCTGGGGTGCATTCTCTTCCCTCTCCCCCATTTCTGTGCATTCTCCGGCCTCCAGGTTCGTGGTCTACAAGCTGCCAGCTGCCAGCCGGTCCGGGGAGTCGGTGCAGAGCGGGCTTCGGTACAAGTATCTGGACGAGAGCTCCGGGGGCTGGCGGGAAGGCAGCGGACTCATCAACAGCTCGGTGGGGGCCGTGGGCCGAAGCCTGCAGCCGCTGTACCGGAGCAACAACAGCCAGGTGAAGGGGCGCCGGGCCAACCAGGGCTGAGACTCTAGGGCGGCCGGGCCTGGGGAGGAATTTCACGTTGCCTCCGTTTATCCGCCCCCCAGCTCGCCTTCCTGCTCTACAATGACCAACCGCCTAAATCTAGCAAGGCTCACATGTCTTCCAACCGTGGGCACACGAAGGGTGAGGCCTGGATTGAGGGGCTGGGGAGAGACTCGGGTTTCTTTCTTTCTCTTTCCCTTTCTTTTCTTTTCCTTTCTTTCTTTCTCTCTCTCTCTCTTTTTTTGTTAAGAAAGAGTCTCGCCCTGTCCCCAGGCTGGAGTGCTGGAGTGCAGTGACGTGATCTCGGCTCACTGCAACCTACACCTCCTGGGTTCAAGCGATTCTCCTGCCTCAGCCTCCCATGTAGTCGGGACTGCAGGCAGAGACTTGGGTTTCTATACATTTTCCCAGGCTAAGCCCTGACCTGCATGGGGTGAAGCGGGGAGATCTGTGCTATCAGATCCTGGGCATCCATTCCTCACCAACTTTTTTTTTGAGACGGAGGAGTCTCCCTTTGTCACCCAAGCTGGTGTGCAGTGGCATAATCTTGGCTCACTGCAGTTTCTGCCTCTGGGGTTCAAGCAATTCTCCTGTCTCAGCCTCCTGAGTAGCTGGGATTACAGGCGCCTTCACATCTGGCTAATTTTTGTATTTTTAGTGTAGACGAGGTTTCACCATGTTGGCCAGGGTGGTCTCAAACTCCTGACCTTGTGGTCTACCCACCTCCCAAAGTGCTGGGATTACAGGGATGAGCCACCTTGCCCAGCTAGTTCCCTATACATTTCTCCAAGCTAACCCCTGACCTCCATAGTACGTTTGGAGATCTGTCTTGTCAGACCATGGGCATCTATTTCCTCTCTTTTCTTCTTCTTCTTTTTTTTTTTTGAGTCAGAGTCTCGCTCTGTTGCCAGGCAAGAGTGCAGTGGCACGATCTCGGCTGACTGCAACCGCCCCCTCCTGGGTTGAAGTGGTTCTCCTGCCTCAGCCTCCCATGTAGTTGAGACTACAGGTGCGCACCACCACGCCCAGCTAATTTTTGTACTTTTAGTGGAGATGGGGTTTCACTATGTTGACCAGGATCGTCTCGATCCCTTGGTCTCATGATCCGCTCGCCTTGGCCTCCCAAAGTGCTGGGATTACAGGCATGAGCTACTGCGCCTGGCTCCTCTTTTATTTTCTTTGAAACAAGGTCTCAGCCAGCGTCACCTAAGCTGGAGAGCAGCATCACAGCTCACTACAGCCTTGACCTCCCAGGGCTCAGGTGATGCTCCTACCTCAGCCTCCAAAGTAGCTGGGTCTGCAGGTGCCTGCCACCACATCTGGCTTTTTTTTTTTTTTTTTTTTTTGCTACAGTCTCACTCTATCACCCAGGCTGGAGTGCAGTGGCACAATCTCAGCTCACAGTAACCTCTGTCTCCTGGGTTGAAGCAATTCTTCTGCCTCAGCCTCTGCAGTAGCTGGGATTACAAATGCGTACCACCACCCTGGCTTTTTTTTGTATTTTTTAGTAGAAATGGAGTTTCACTGTATTGGCCAGGCTGGTCTTAAACTCCTGACTTCAGGGGTTCCACCTACCTCGGCCTCCCAAAGTGCTGGGATTATAGGTGTGAGCCACCTCACCTGGCCTCCTTTTCTTTTCCCCCTGAGATGGAGTCTTGCTCTTGTTGCCCAGGCTGGAGTGCAATCTCAGCTCACTGCAACCTCCGCTTCCCAGGTTCAAGCAATTCTCCTGCCTCACCCTCCTGAGTAGCTGGGATTACAGGTGCCCACCACGTCTGGCTAAGTTTTGTATTTTTAGTAGAGCCGAGGTTTCACCATCTAGGCCAGGCTGGTCTTGAACTCCTGACTTCATGATCCACCCGCCTCAGCCTCCCAAAGCGTTGGCATTACAGGCGTGAGCCACCTCACCCAGCCTTCTCTAATTGTCTTCTTTTGGTCCAGGTGTCCTGCTTCTCGACCATGATGGGGGCTTCTGGCTGGTCCACAGTGTACCCCAATTCCCTCCACCTGATGCATACAGCTGGCCTCAAAGTGCCCATACCTACGGGCAGACCCTGCTCTGTGTGTCTTTTCCCTTCAGCCAATTCTCGAAGATTGGTGAGTGGAGTCAGGGACATGGGGTGAGTCATGGGTTTCCTGACTAGAACCTGGAATGATCTCCTCCTCCCCTTGTCCTCCAGGCAAGCAGCTGACCTACACCTACCCCTGGGTCTATAGCTACCAGCTGGAAGGGGTCTTTGCCCAGGAATTGCCCGAGTTGGAGGATGCGATCGAGGGCCACCACATTGGCCAAAAACCGTGGAACAGCAGCATCACACTCACATCCCGGGCCGGGGCTGTTTTCCACAGCTTTGCCAAGTTCCGGAAATTTGGAGATGGTAAGCCCTGCAGTTGAGTGGTGGAGAGCTTCTTGTCTGTAGAGTGGGTGTCTGGTGTGGCCATGGCTGAGTGCAAGTCAAGGGTAGAGACTAGGTCTGTTTGGGAGCCGTAATCACATAAAAGTTGAACAGACCTGGGTGCAGACTCTGGGTTCTGGCTGTGTGATGTAACTTTCACCTGAGCCTCAGTCTACTCATCTGAAAAATGGGGATACTGACATCTACTTAAAGGATTGTTGTGAATGAAGTGGTGCATATAAGGCATTTGGGCACCAGGAGCGGTGCCTCACTCCTGTAATCCCAGTTACCTGGGAAGCTGAGGCAGGAGGATTATTTGAGGACAGGAGTTGAAGACAAGCCTGGGCAAAATAGCAAGACCCCATCTCCATAAAATTAAAAATTAGCCAGCCAATTTGGGAGACTGAGGCAGGTGGATAAATTGAACCCAGAGTTTCAGGCTGCAGTGAGCTATGATGACTCCACCGCAATCCAGCCTGGGTGACAGAGCAAGACCCTGTCTTTATTTAAAAATAAATAGGTCAGACGCAGTGGCTCATGCCTATAACCCCAGCACTTTGGGAGGCTGAGGCTGGAGGATCACTTGAGCTCAGGAGTTTGAGAGCATCCTGGGCAACACAGTGGGAATTCATCTCTACAAAAAAAATTTTAATTAGGAGGTCATGGTGGCATGGTGGTGGAGTCTCCACTACTCAGGATGCTGAGGTGGAAGAATAGCTTGAGCCCAGGAGGTGGAGGCTGTAGTGGGTCATGATGGTGCCACTGCACTCCTGCTAGGGCATCAGAATGAGACCCAATCTCAAAATAAATAAGTTAATTAATTAATTAAAAACATTTGGGGCCGGACGTGGTGGCTCATGCCTGTAATCCCAGCATTCTGGGTGGATCACTTAAGCCCAGGAGTTCAAGACCAGCCTGGCCAACATGGTGAAACCCCATCTCAAAAAAAAAAAAGAAACCCTGTCTCTATTAAAAATACAAAAATTAGCTGGGCATGATGGTGGGTGCCTGTAACCCCAGCTATTCAGGAGGCTGAGGCAGGAGAATCACTTGAACCCGGGAGGTGGACATTACAGTGAGCCAAGATTGCACCACTGCACTCCAGGCCTGAGAGACAGAGCAAGACTCAGTTTCAAAAGAGAAATTTGGAAACTGAGTTGAGAGAGGGGAAGTGGTCTAGGGACTCCCTAGCTGTGGCCCTGACCCTATCTGTGCCCTCTTTCCATCCTTTGCAGACCTATACTCTGGCTGGTTGGCAGCAGCCCTTGGTACCAACCTGCAGGTCCAGTTCTGGCAAAAGGGTACAGGCATCCTGCCCTCCAACTGCTCAGGGACCTGGCAGGTTCTGAATGTGAACCAGATAGCCTTCCCTGGACCAGCCAGCCCAAGTTTCAGCAGTACAGAGGACCACTCCAAATGGTGCGTGTCCCCACTTGGGCCCTGGACCTGTGTGGGTGACATGAATCGAAACCAGGGAGAGGAGCAGCGGGGTGGGGGCACACTGTGTGCCCAGCTGCCAGCCCTCTGGAAGGCCTTCCAGCCCCTGGTAAAGACATGGCAGCCCTGTAATAGCTGGTAAGAGCGAAGCCTCATGGCCAGGTGCAGTGACTCACGCATGCAATCCCAGCACTTTGGAATCTCAGGTCAGCCACTTCCCAGCTATATGACCTTTGTGTGCCTTAACCACTCTGTGACACAGTCCACCCATCCGCAAAATGAGAAACGTAATACCTGCCATCAGGATTGTTGAGGAGTAAATAAATGGAGCTGGGCACGGGGGCTCACTCCTGTAATCCCAACACTTTGGGAGGCCAAGTCGGGCGGATCATCTTAGGTCAGAAGTTCGAGACCAGCCTGACCAACATGGAGAAACCCCATCTCTACTAAAAATACAAAAATTAGCTGGGCATGGTGGTGCTCGCCTGTAATCCCAGCTCCTCAGGAGGCTGAGGCAGGAGAATTGCCTGAACCCAGGAGGCGGAGGTTGCGGTGAGCCGAGATCGTGCCATTGCACTCCAGCCTGGGTAACAAGAGCGAAACTCCGTCTCAAAAACAAACAAACAAAAAAACAAAATTAGCTGGGCATGGTGGCACATGCTTGTAATGCCAGCTACTCAGGAGTCTGAGGCAGGAGAATCTCTTGAACCTGGGAGGTGGAGGCTGCGGTGAGCTGAGATGGCGCCATTGCACTCCAGATTGGGCAACAAGAGCGAAACTCCGTCTCAAAATAATAATAATAAAAATAAATAAAAGGAAATTGGTGGATGAGGTAGTTAACTTTTTCCTGGGGTGGGCTCTGGGACACAAGAGGATTGCAGGATCAATTCTCCCCCTAAAGTTTTGGGGGGCAGTTGGCAAAGAGGTGAGACCAGAAGTGGGACCACAGGAGGTGTCTATCCAAAATTCCCTCCACATTCCATAATAACCAGAACTGGAGTCCCACCTCCAAAAATGCACCTGGGCATGGGGCTGGGGTCCTGTGATATTTCACCTTGCCTGGAGAGGAGTGAGCCCCAGAAAACTCACGAAGCACAGAAGCACTTTATTTATATGTGTACATATGTATACAGGCAGCTGTACAGCGTGGGGCCAACGCCCCCCTTGGCTATGGGCCTGGGGGTGCGGGACTAGATACCCCTTTTTTGGTGAGGCCTGCTGGGAGCACAGCTTCAGCAGGGCACCGGGAGGTCAGCCCCACTTCAGGCTTGGTGCCCGGGCCCGAGAGGGAAGCCGGTGGGGCTGGGGTTACTGCACTGCTGGGTGCACTGCACTTTGCTGGGGCTAGGGAGGGTGTCTGGGGCTCTGGGGAGAGCTTGGGGGAGGAGGGCTTGGAGCGAGGCCCGCTCAGCGTTGTTCGCTCCTCCACCACCTCCAGCACCCAGCGCTCCCGGCCCCGGGGTACCTCAGGCACAGAAGGCGCCAGGGATGTGGGTTCCTGTAACCCCTTGGAGTCCGCTCGCAGAGGCTGGGGCGCCTCAGCCTTAGCCCCAGGCCGCACAGGCTCTACGACAATGGGTACCGGGGGCGTGCCCGCCTCGCCAGAACTGCTGCGCCTGCCCGTCTCATGTTCCTGCACTGGGCTCAGCGCCGCCTTGGCCACAGCCCTGGCCACCCCGCCAGTGCCATCCTCCGTCTGCACGCTCTGATGCCGCGTGCAGCCGACGTCCCGCTCTAGGGTCCGGCCCCCGGGGGTCGTCGCACGGGGCTGGGTGCAGGCCTCGGCGCCCCCCGGGGATTCCTTCTCCTTGCTTGACATTGGCGGCCTGGAGGCACCCTCGGGCAGCAACGGGTCCGGGCCCATGCTTAAAGGTGACTCCTGTCGGCCCAGGCGGCGGACAGCGACCTGCCGGGGCGCACCATGGCCCTCGATAGGGGGCGTCTCGCCATCGGACTCGGCAAGGCTATGCAGCGCCAGCTCGCCGTGGAAGTCCTTGCGGAAATCCGGGTGGCCCACCTCGAGGCTGTGCTTGCGCAGCGCGCCCTTCTTGTCCGCACTCATGGAGGCTCCCAGCTTCTCCGCCGACTGCACGCGCTTGAGGAGCGGTGAGCGAGGGGGCTCGGCACTCTTGGGGCGTGGGCGCACGACGGGAGGCGATGAGTGCAGTTTGGCCGGGAAGCTCTGCGTCGTGTGCGAGCTGCCCACCGTGTGGCCAGGCAGCGGCGGCGGTGACGCCTGCGTGGGGGACGGCGTGTGTGCCAGCGGCGACAGAGGGATGTTGCCGGCTGACTTGCATCGAGCAGAGCGGTACTGGCGGTGGAGCTTTGGCGACAGCCCGTGCAGCGTGCTGGGCCGAATGTGGTGCGACGCCGACGACGCGGGCGAGTTGGGCGTGCTCGAGGCTGGGGAGCTGCTCTGGGACGAGGCGCCTGCGGGCGAGAACAGGTGGAGCGAGTGAGTACAGCCCGAGCACCACCCAGGCCACCCTGCGCCGCTCGGTCCCGGCGGAAGGTGCAGGAGCTAATACCTAGGTAGGCGGAGTCAGGCGTGGAGCGGTAGCTGTGCGTGGGTGAGCGCGCAGGCAGCCCGTGCGTGGGCGAGCCCGGGAGACTGTCGCTGGACGACAGCGAGCGATTCAGCGACGACAGAGAGCGGCTAGTATGCAGCAGGTTCGACTGCTTCGTGATCTTCCGGAACAGGGAGCTGCGCTTCTTGCTGCGGGACAGGGAGGGAGCCACGCATCCTTGACCTGGGAGTCAGAGCTCAGGGCTCTTCCCACTTCAGGGCCTCACAACAGCCCCTGTAACCGCCCACCCCTTCTGGCCCCTCCCTCTCAGCTACAACCCACCAATCAAGGCAAAACTTCTTTTAGCTCAGTGCTGCTTGGCTCCTCCCACTATAGTCCCCACCCACACCCTTTGGTCTCTAGTAGTCCAAACTAGAAGCAACCATCCAAACAAAACCAACCTATTCCACCCTGCCACCTCTCTAGCTCCTCCCTCCTCCACTACAACCCACCTATCAAGATAGAACTTCCCTTAGCTCAGTACTTCTTGGCCCCTCCCATCTCAGGCCCCGCCCAACATTAGGCCCCTCCCAATCCAGGCAACAAACACCCATCCAAACAAAACCAACCAACTCTGTTTTTGTTTTTAAGACAGTGTCTTGCTTTTCTCGCCCAGGCTGGAGTGCAATGGTGCGATCTCGGCTCACTGCAACCTCTGCCTCCTGGGTTCAAGCGAGTCTCCTTCCTCAGCCTCCTCAGTAGCTGGGATTACAGGTGCCTGCCACCACGCTCAGCTAATTTTTGTATTTTTAGTAGAGACGAGGTTTCACCATGGCCAGATTGGTCTCGAACTCCTGACCTCAGGTGATCCAACTGCCTTGGCCTCCCAAAGTGCTAGGATTACAGGCGTGAACCATCACGCCTGGCCTTTTTTTTTTTTTTTGAGACGGAGTTTTGCTCTTGTCGCCCGGGCTGGAGTGCAATAGCATGATCTTGGCTCACTGCAAACTCTCCCTTCCGGGTTCAAGCAATTCTAGTGCCTCAGCCTCCAGAGTAGCCTCCTGAGCAGCTGGGACTACAAGACTGAGCCACCACTTCCAGCTAATTTTAGTATTTTTAGTAGAGATGGGGTTTCACATGTTAGTCAGGCTGGTCTCGAACTCCTGACCTCAGGTGATCCACCCACCTCGGCCTCCCAACGTGCTGGGATTACAGGCGTGACCCACCTCTCCCGGCCAAAAGCCACCACTTCTGGTCCTGCCCACCCCTCTAGTCCCTCCGTCTTTCACTACAACCCAGCTATCAAGACAGAACTTCCCTTAGCTCGGTGCTGCTTGGTTCCTCCCTCCTCCCACTTCAGGCCCCGCCCAACCTTTTGGCCACGCCCAGTACAGCCTAGAAACACATCCAAACAAAACCAACCTGGTCCCACCCGTCTCTAGTCCCCCTCTTCCACTACAACCCACCTATAAGTGCGGGTAAAAATGTACTTAACTCAGCCACGTCTGGCTCTTCTCACTCAAATCCCTGTACTTGTTTGGGCCAAACTCACTGATCAAAACAGAACAGTTTTCTGGCCCCACCCGCCTCCTTCCTAGGTCCTCCTATCTATAAGGGAAGATAGGATTTCAGTTGGCTGCATCTTGCCTGGCATACTCATTCCAGATAGATATTTCTTATTCTAGTCTCTCCCAGTTCAGCCTAAACACATCTAACAGATAGGACGATCTCCTGGACCCCTCCATCTTTGGACATCTTTCTTTCCAGTTCGCATCTGCTGGGCCTGCCTACATGTGCAAGACCCTCCTACAATGCATTTCTCTGATCCTAGAAACCTGGCACAGCTTCTGTTCTTGGCTCCTCTCACTTTTACAGCCCTTTTTTTTTTTTTTTTTGAGACAGAGTCTGGCTCTGTTGTCCAGGCTGGACTGCAGTGGTGAGATCAGAGCTCACTGCAGCCTCGACCCCCTGGGGCTCAAGTGATCCTCCCACCTCAACCTCCCAGTAGCTGGGACCACAGGCATGTGCCACCAAGCCCAGCTAGTTTTAGCCCAGCTAGTTTTAAAAAATTTTTGTAGAGGTGGGGTCGCCCTATGTTGCCCAGGCTAATCGAGACTCCTGGGCTCAAGTGAGCCTTCTGCCTCAGCCTCCCAAACTGCTGCGATTACAGGTGTGAGTCATCCCAGCCCCTCTTGTCTGTTGTTCCCCCCACCTTTCCCGTGCTCTTCCCTGCGATGACCTCATCTGTGCCCCTCCCACCTGAGTTCCACCCTCTCCTCAAAGACCAGGCCGTTTACAGCTGTGCCAACCTCTCCTGGCCCTCTTTGGCAGAGGGCCGCTTGTTCCTCCGAGCCATTTTGGCCTTGTAGCTGCTGCGCCTTGCAGGGCCGATTCGGATAGAGGTATTTTCGAAGGGCGTTGTGGTCACCGCTACCTTGTTGCCACTCTGGGGGAAGAAAGGGGGGAAATGCCCTGCTGGGGGTTGCGCAGACCTGCCCCACCCTCCGTCCAGGGTGCCTCTTTCCCAGCACTCACCTTAAGAATCAGCTCCACGACCTCAGGATGCACCATGCCATGCACAGGCTCCCCATTCACGTGGGTGATGAGATCTCCAGCACAGAGTCCTGCTTCCTGGGCTGGGCCTCCTTCCTCCACGTGCTGGGGAAAGAGCACCCCACAGGGGCAGGGTTAATGGGACTGGTAACAAGGAAAGCTCCTAAGCTTATGTGCGGGACACTTAGCTCTGCCTGCACAGAATCCTCATAACACCTTGTGAAATAGTAATTCTTATCCCCATTTTTTTTTTTTTAGGTAGAGTCTCGCTCGATCACTGAGGGTGACACTGGCACTCTCTTGAGTGCCCTGGCACTATCTTAGCTCACTGCAACCTGCGCCTCCTGGTTTCAAATGATTCTCCCACCTCAGCCTCCGGAGTAGCTGGGATTACAGGCATGTGCCACTACCTCCGGCTAATTTTTTTTTTCTTGAGACAGAGTCTCACTCTGTCATCCAGGCTGGAGTGCAGTGGCGCAATCTTGGCTAACTGCAACTTCCGCCTCCTGGGTTTAAACAATTCTCTGCCTCAGCCTGCTGAGTAGCTGGGATTACAGGTACATGCCACCATACCTGGCTAATTTTTGTATTTTTAGTAGAGACAGGGTTCTACCATCTTGACCAGGCTGGTCTTGAACTCCTGACCTCATGATCCACCTGCCTCGGCCTCCCAAAGAGCTGGGATTACAGACGTGAGCCACCGTGCCTGGCCAATTTTTGTATTTTTAATAAAGATGGATTTTCACCATGTTGGCCAGGC